ACAAAAGAAAGGTAAACGAAGCAAGAAAGATGGTGGGGTTCGATTTCTCACGGAAGACTCAGATTGTTCCATGGTGGAACTTTAAACATTTATTTTCGTCTACATAATTGAAGGGGAGGGGTGGGGGGCGGGCCCCTGGACCTTCTTCTTGAACTGCTATTGAGATAATCACGTCCCTTTGATCTTTAAACTTCCATAAATGATTAACCTCTATTTTCTTCCTGTGATTCCAGTACAGCACCCCACGAACAGCTGATGAGAACACAACTTCATCCGCTTGAGGATGTTGTCTTGATATAAAACCAAATTCCCTTGTCTTCTTTACGAGGATGTGTATGGCAGTCAGTTGGGAGAATTACTAACTTGAGTTAAAGAGTTAAAGACAGTACTATTTAAACAATAGAGTGTTTCTGTCGAGGAACTATCGGCTGATGGTTGCCCCGCGGAAATTTGATGTTCTTAAAACAAATATGCTAGTTTTAAGAACATCAAATTTCCAAGGGGCAACTATCAGACCGATAGTTCCGAGACATAAACACTCTATTGTTTTTATTGTTCACCACTAAATTTTCTTCCGCGCCTACAGCTTGTCACAAATGTCAATAATTCGCAACCGTACATTGGCTAAATAATACGTTATACCTGTCAGAATTGAAAAGTCACTGTTTTTCCGATCTGCCTAACTTCGCGGCCGTCAAACTATTCAAAACTTTTCACGGATGAGTACTATCAATCCAGGTATTTTCCGCGGACGGGCACTATCCATCCGGGTATTTTCCGCGGGCGGGCACTATGGGCTGATAGTGTCTCTCCACGGATGAACACTATCGCGTCACGTGATCGATTTAAACCAATAAGAACCGGAGAAAATTTAGTGGTGAACTATAATTGAAAATATTCTATCACTGCCAAATTGATGGTAGTAAAAGAGACTGAGGAATAGGCCACAAACACTCACACGACTTTTAAAGTATCATCTTTTTTAATTCTTTGAACTTTTATCTACACCAACTGGGTTGGGCGAAGATCAGTTATGCTGGAGGTGGATTCTATGGAACAGAAATTAAATATCGCGGTAAAAGAATTTCATATCGTATACCTTTCAAAAATCCTCAGGGAACAAATGCTGGTACTTATTTTCGTGCCTTTGCATTCTCTCAATACAAGAGATGACATTCACGGATTGGGGTCTCGTGCCTAAATTTGCCAGGCGTCACCGAACAGCGGTCGGACCAATGTTAAGTACATTAAGCATCTTAGGGTTGTATCTTGAAAAGTTCGAGTATTTCTCTTAATGTATCCCAACAATTTATTAGCTCTACCCTTCTGTTAATTTACATGATGGCTCCAAGTCAAATCATCCGATACGTAAACACCGAGATCGCATTCGGTTGTCACGCACTCCAGAGGGCTGTCCTTGAATGGTATATGACGAAACAGCAGGGTGGGTCTTTCTCGTGATCATCTGGGACTTGCATTTCTTCTCATTTTGTTCTGATCTGACTTCTCCCCAGTTTACTCGCTATTTTAAGTACTGTCAGGAGTAGGGCGCGTGACCTACGATGGTGAAGATGGGAAAGAGGTCATACGAGAGGTATTCTCTTCTCTTTATTCTACCTTCCTATCCTCCCCTTCCTTGGTAGCTACTGCAGTCTCTTGCAAATCCCCCCCCCCACCCCCCTCTGGTGCCACTTCAAATAAGAGACGAGTGGGGATGGGTCAGCGGTCTATTCCCAAAACTCAAAACTAATTTGGTGATTCCCTTTTCCTGTCACTTTCGGAAGGTAATCAAAATTGATTAGCTTACCAAATTACAATTAGATAGAATTCATAGAAATTCTGAGGCTAAAAGTTGAGATCCACCTAAATTGTTTTACCACATCTTAGCTGTCTCTGAAGATCGCCAGACTTTTCCACATCAGTCAAGGTCATATCGCTCTTTTCAGACTCGTCTAGTTATAATTCTCGTTATGCGATTACCAACAGTACTACCAATTTTCTTGCTTTTTTCACTCTAAAGATCGTTAGATTTTCCCTAATCAATCAAGATAGCGCTGCTCTATTTAGACTCGTGCAATTAAGTTTCTCGCAGTATAACTATGAACGGGCCCCCTCATTTTCTTGCTTTTTTTAAATTCTAAAGAGTAGTAGATTTTCCTCAATCAAGATAACGTTGCTCCATTTAGACTGGTGTAGTTAAGTTTGTCGTAGTATAACTACGAACGGTCCACCCATTTTCTTGCTTTTTTTCAATTCTAAAGATTGTTGGAATCTTTCTTTATCAGTCAAGACAGTATCACTCTATTTAGACTCGTCTAGTTAACCTTTTTCTTAATATGAATACCCACGGTTCCACCAATGTTCTTGAAAGGCTGTGTGATCCACTCAGCAATATGGCAGTCAATTATATCACGAGCACAAGTGTCACTGTCCAATGGAGTTACCATGGAAACTGCTCGAAACCAGGCTTTATCCAAGGATACCGACTGACATACCGGATGCATGGGACAGAGCCCGGTTCATCCGCGTTCTTTAGAGTCTCTGGAGAAAACAAGACGAAAGTGATTTTGAACGGTTTAAAGCCTTACACAACTTACAGAATTCAACTTCAATTCATCACTACTACAGGCACAGATGGGAAAACGAGCATCGCTTGGGTCAAAACGAACGAAGGAGGTAGGTGTATAGATATTGGTGGTCACGAGATGTCGATCAAGGTTATCAGAAGTGTCTCTAATTCCCCACA